AAAAACTGTACTGCTAAAAATGCTAATAATCATCTGTATCTTCAGCAAGTCATAGTCTTTTTTTTTATTGCATTTTAGGTTTTGGGGTACATGTGAAGGACATGCAAGAATGTTGCATAGGTACACACATGGCAGTGTGGTTTGCTGGCAAGTCATAGTCTTTTTGCTGGTGGAGGGTTTTGCCTTGATGCTGATGGCTGCTGACTGATGAGAGTGGTGGCCGCTGATGGTTGGAGTGGCACTTTCTTAAAATAAGACAATGAAGTTTGCTACATTGATTGACTCTTCTGTTCCCAAAAGATTTCTCTGTAGCATGGATGCTGTCCTGATAGCATTTTACCCACAGTATAACTTCTTTCAGAATTGGAGTCAGTCCTCTCAAACCCTGCCACTGCTTTAATATAATATTCTAATTCTGTTGTCGTCATTTCAACAACATTCACAGAATCTTCACCAGGAGTACATTCCAGCTCAAGAAACCACTCTTGGTGCTCTCATCCATAAGAAGCAATTCCTCATCTCTTCAAGTTTTATCAGGAGATTGCACCAATTCAGTCATATCTTCAGGCTCCACTTCTAATTCTATTTCTCTTGCTATTTTCACCACATCTGTAGTTATAGCCTCCACTGAAGCCCGAGCCTCTCAAAGTCATTCATGAGGGTAGGAATCAACTTCTTCCAAAATCCTGTTAATGTTGATATTTTGACCTCCTCCTATGAATCACCAATGTTCTTAATGGCATGTAGAATGGTGAATACTCTCCGGAATGTTTTCAATTTACTTTGCTCAGGTCCATCAGAGGAATCACTAGCTGTGGCAGCTATAGCCTTATGAATAGACTATACATGAATATTCGAACCAATAAGACTAGAAAGTTGAAATGACTCCTTGGAATTCATGGACTGCAGAATAAATGTGTTACCAGGTATGAAAAGAAACATTTATCTCCTTGCATATCTTCATCAAAGGTCTTAGGTGACAAGGTATACTGTCAATGGAAGGAAGTATTGAAAGGAATCTTCTTTTTCTGAATAGTAGGTCTTAACAGTGGGCTTAAAATATTTAGTAAACCACACTGTAAGCAGATGTGCTGCCATGTAGACTTTGTTGTTTTATTTATTTATATAGCATAAGCAGATTAGTAGATTTAGCATAATTCAAAAGGGCCCTAGGATTTTTAGAACAGTAAATTAGCAATAGCTGCAACTTGGTCATCAGTTCCATTAGCCCCTAACAAGAGTCAGCCCTGTCCCTTGAATCTCTGAAGCCAAACATTGACTTCTCCTCCCTAGCTGCGAAAGTCCTAGCTGGCTTCTTCTTCCAATAGAAGGCTATTTTGTCTACATTGAAAATCTGTTGTTTAAGGTAGCCACACTTTCTTTTTTTCAGATCTAGACCTGTAGAAATGTATCCACTTTTATTTATCATCTTAGCTAGATCTTCCTTATAACTTGCTGCAGCTTCTCTATCAGCACTTGCTGCTTCATCTTGCACTTTTATATTATGGAGATAGCTTCCTAAACCTCATGAATGAACTTCTGCTAGCTTCCAACTTTTCTTCTGCACCTTCCTCACCTCTCTGTCTTCACAGAACTGAAGAGAGTCAGGGCCTTGTTCTGAATTATGCTTTGGCTTAAGGGAATCTTGTGGCTGGTTTGATCTTTTAATCAGATCACTCTCTCCCTATCATTAATAAAGCTGTTTCACTTTCTTATCTGGAGTAGCATTTTTAATTTTCCTCAAAAACTGCGCCTTCATATTTTGGCTGTTTGACACAAGAGGCCTAGCTTTTAGCCTATCTTGGGGCTTTCAACATGCCTTTCTCATATTAATGATGGCATTTCTAGTTTTGAAGAATTTTGACTCTTAGTTTCACTTGAACACTTACGGGCCATTGCAGGGTTATTAGTTGGTCTAATTTCAACATTGTTGTCTCTCAGGTTATAGGAAAGCCCAAGAGGGAGAGAGAGAGAGAGATGGACAGTCAGTGGAGCAGCCAGAAAACACAGAACATTTATTGATTAAGTTCACTGTCTTATATTGGCATGATTCATGATGTGCCAAAACAATTACAACAGTTAACATCAAAGCTCAATAATCACAGATCACCATAAAATACTAAATAGTAGCTGGGCGTGGCGGCTCATGCCTGTAATCCCAGCACTTTGGAAGGCTGAGGTGGGAGGATTGCTTGAGTCCAGGAGTTCAAGACCAGCCCAGACAGCAGAGTGAGACTTCCATCTCTGCAAAAAATTAAAAAATTAGCTGGGCCCACTGGGATGCAACTGTAGTCCCAGCTACTCAGGAGGCTGAAGTGGGAGGATCACTTGAGTCTGGTAGTTGCAGCTGCAGGGAGCCATGATTGTGCCACTGCACTCCAGCCTGTGCAACAGACTGAGACTCTTTCTTTAAAAAAAAAAAAAAAGACATAATAATGAAGTTTGAAATATTGGAAGAATTACCAAAAGGTGACACAGAGACATGAAGTGAGTACATCTGTTGGATAAAAAGCACTGATAAACTTGTTCAACACAGGAGTGCCACAAACCTTCAATTTGTGAAAAACACAGTATCTGTGAAGCACAACAAAACAGGATACACCTGTAAATCCTAGAGGATCACTAGAAAAAATGGCCAGGCGCGGTGGCTCAAGCCTGTAATCCCAGCACTTTGGGAGGCCGAGGCGGGTGGATCACGAGGTCAAGAGATCGAGACCATCCTGGTCAACATGGTGAAACCCCATCTCTACTAAAAATACAAAAAATTAGCTGGGCATGGTGGCACGTGCCTGTAATCCCAGCTACTCAGGAGGCTGAGGCAGGAGAATTGCCTGAACCCAGGAGGTGGAGGTTGCGGTGAGCCGAGATCGTGCCATGGCACTCCAGCCTGGGTAACAAGAGCGAAACTCCGTCTCAAAAAAAATAAAAAATAAAAAATAAATTAAAAAAAATAAAAACAAGATATAACCGATAAGCCAATAGTAGAGATAAAATAGAATCATTATAAAAACTCAATCCAAAAGAAAGCAAAAAAAAGAAAGAGAAAAAGAACAAAGAATAGATGAGACAGCTGCGCGCAGTAGCTCATGCTTGTAATCCCAGCACTTTGGGAGGCCAAGGCAGGTAGATCACCTGAGGTCAGGAGTTTGAGACCAGCCTGGCCAACCTAGTGAAACCCCATCTCTACTAAAAATATAAAAATTAGCTGGGTTTGGTGTTGGGTGCCTGTAATCCTAGCTACTTGGGAGGCTGAGGCAGGACAACTTGAACCTGGGAGGCAGAAGTTGCAGTGGGCCAAGATTGAGCCATTGCACTTCAGCCTGGACGATAGAGTGAGACTTTGTCTCAAAAAAAAGAATATATGAGACAAATAAATGATAGATTTAAATCCAACCACGTTGATAACTACACTAAATGTGGATGGTCTAAACATACTGATTAAACAACACATTATCAGACTGGGTTATAAAAAGCAAAGAAAGACCCAAATATATGCTGCTGACATGAAACCCACTTTAAAACAAAGACATTGGTTAAAAGTAAAAGAGTAGAAAAAGATACATTGGCAAACACTCAGCTAAAGAAAGCTGGAGAAATTACATAAATAACAGACAAGGCTGACTTCAAAACAAGACATTACCAAAGTTAAAAAGAAACATTACTGGTCAAGAGAACACAAAATGATATGGCCAATTGGGAAAACAGTTTGGTAGTTTCTTACAAAACTAAACATATTTTTATCATACAATCCAGCAATCATGCTCCTTAGTATTTATCCGAAGGATTTTAAAATATGTCCGCACTAAAACCTTTGTATAGATGTTTACAGCAGCTTTGTTCATAACTGCCAAAACTTAGAAGCAAACAAGATGTCCTTCATTAGGTAAATTAAACATTTTTCATTGTTGTTGATATCTAAATAGACTGCTCCAATAAAAAGAAATACTCTGGGGAAAAGAAAACTATGAAAAATCACTTATAAATCCAAAATAACTATTTGTATACCACAGGTGTGCAGAAGAACATATACACTTTTTATCTTTTAGGGACAATATAACTAGTAAGAAGAATACAAAGGAATCAAATGTATATCACTAAAAAGAGAGATTTAAGGTTTTGAGATCATGATAAACTCCCTAGCATTTCTTTTCATGAAACTAATCCTTCTTTTCTAATAAACAGTCAAAAACATATTTTTCCAGTTTTCAAATGGAAAAAACTATCAGATATATTCTGAAGATATCTAGTATATACACAAAATGGTTTTTAAGAAACACAGGCTGGGTGAGGTGGCTCATGCCTATAATCCCAGCACTTCAGGAGGCTGAGGTAGGAGGATTGCTTGAGGCCACAAGTTTGAGACCATCCTAGGCAACAGAGCAAGACTCTGTCTCTATTTTTATTTAAAAGAAAGACTCACAGAGCAATGAGCAAAAATCACCTCTGCATCTCCTCTAAAGGACAAAACATACCATATTGCTTTGCCTATTACTGGCACTCTAAAAAATTTTGTTTTAATTCATTTTTTTTTTGTTTCTTATAACAAAATGCTTCCTGCTAATAATCAGCTAATCTAAATTATTTCTCAAAAAGGAGGCGGGAAGCAAAATCATGTTTTGTTTCCATATCCTTTACATAGTTTGAGTAGTTTTATTAGCAAATTAATGTCCTCAATAAATATCTACTAAGAATCTATTAAATGCCACTAAGACTCTGGGATCTGTTCAAAGATACTAACTTTCACAGACCTAAATAGTCTATAAATATAAGAGCTCATATTTGTGAAAATATAATTTAAGTAGGAAGAAAAACTGTCCTAATGGATTACTTCCTTAATATCCCTGTAAAATTTATCTCTTCTTTGGCTTCTTTGTACCATTTCCATTGTTCTATAATTTGCTAACATATTAATTTTTAAATCTTTTGAAATATCTAATTAGTAACAGTTTTCAAAAACTTCAGATCAAGAACAAAAAAGTAATGTTTGAGAAATATAGTACCTGACAGAGGATGTTCTTGGCCCATGGTCTCTGGAATCCATTACCCAACCAACATGACACTCTAGAGGGGGATTTGTACTATGCCTTGTTTTTCTCTTTCTTGGACTCTAAAGAAAATAAAGTCAAGCATTGCAATTAGTTTCAGTAGTGTGAACTTTACAAGTAAATTAAAACCCTCTGACTATAAATGAACTCAAACATTTTTATACTGTAGATGACACATTGTGAAATCATATGAAGTCACAAAACTCAAATATCTCACACACAAGTTACAAAACTTAATAAATAAGGAGGTTTGTGAAACAAGGATGAAAAGAAGTGCAGCTTAGTATGATTCTTTATTATACTTTCTGTTCATCTTTAATTACACTATCCAATTGTAAAAATGGTTTTTGTTTTTTGTTGTTGTTTGTTTGAGAAATGGGGTCTTATTCTGTTGCCAAGGCTGGAGTGCAGTGGCATGATTATGGCTCACTGCACTACCAGCTCAAGCGATCCTCCCACTTCAGCCTCCCAAGCAGCTGGGACTACAGGCACATGCCACCATACCCATCTAGTTTTTGTATTTTTTTTAAGAGATGGGCTCCCACCACATTGCCCAGGCTCGTCTCCAACTCCTGAGCTCAAGTGATTCCCCCTGCCTTTGGCCTCCCAAAGTGTTGGATTACAGGTGTGAACCACTGCAACCAACAAAGAAATTATTTCTTCTTCTTCTTCTTTTTTTTTTTTTTTTTTTTTTTTGAGATGGAGTTTCACTGTGTTGCCCAGGCTAGAGTGCGATGGCATGATCTTGGCTCACTGCAACCTCTGCCTCCTGGGTTCAAGCAATTCTCCTGACTCAGCCTCCTGAGTAGCTGGGATTACAGGCATGCGCCACCACACCCAGGTAAGGAAATTATTTCTTAACCTGAGAAAATACCACTATGGTAAAGTACAATTTTTAATTGAAATATTACAACTCATAACACACATTTTTTAATGTGATAGAAATTAACACATATCATTCTGTAATGTTAAAGGATATAAAATGTAAGTCTTATGTTCCTGGTTGTTTTGTATACCTTTACATCAATGGCTTTCGGTTCCTTAACAACAGGATAAAATCTTGGTGTTTTGTTAGGATCTTGTAACCTAGGTGTTCGAGGTGTTTTAGGTGTTCTTGTAGCATGAATTCTAGGAGATTCTGGAACTGCCGTAGGCAACGAACAAACCATTGCTGCCGAAGTTATCTCTGAAACATCAAATAGCTTCTGAGCTAATCCACCAGTCAAATCTGCAAAATAAAGAGCTCTTAAAATTATTTAGATGCTAGGAAAATATTTTACTTTGAGAATAAAAATAATTCTGGAATTCTCTAAGCTCAAAGGATTTTTCACTGGAAACATTTCAAATATATAAAAACAAAAACAACAAATACTTTTTTGACCATTATCTGGCTTTATAAAATTTTGATTTTGCTCTATGTTTATAAGCTTTTTTTCTTTTAAAGAAAGCATGACACTTCCTGTGTAGCCTCCCCTAATCCCATTTCCCTCTGCTTTCCCTTCTGAGAGATAACTAACCTCTTAAATTTGGAATTTTGAACTGTTATTCCATATATGTAATATTATATCGCATAATTAACTTTATATAAGTGACATCATACTATATATATATCACTTTGTAAACTTTTTTCCTGTTTTATTTACATAGCTCTAATTTGTTTATTTTTCACTGCTGAATAGTATATGGTGTACAAATATACCACAATTTACCCATTCTCCTACAGATAGATATTTATGTTATTTCAAAGTTTTTCATTTAATCAACAATACCATGATCAACATTGTTGAACATGTCTCTGTACAGGTATGAGCATTTCTCTAGGGTTTATATTTGAGTGGAAATGCTGAGTCAAAAGACATGTACATCTTCTGACTTAATGACTACTGACCGCCAAACCACTTTCTATAATCATTTCACCAATTTACACTCTCACCAGCAGCATGTGAGAATTCCAACAATTCAACATCCTGGTCAAGATTGAGTTTTGTTCAAGCGCTTAAATATTCTTGCATCTCATGGGAGTTAAATGATATTTGCATTTCTTTAGTAGTTGCTAGTGAAATTGAACGTGTTTTCATATATCTAGTTACCCTTCAGACTTCCCTTTTGTGGGCCTGCTATTCAAATCATTTGACTAATTTTTTTATATGGTTGTTTTACTTACTGATTTGTTCATGAAAATCTTATGGTAAGATACCAAATAAGCCAGCAGATGAATCAAGTAGTAGCAACAAAAAAATATAGGTTCTATTTCTGTGTGGTTTTTCTTCAGATTTATCAACTTCTTTTGAATTAATATAGTAACTTTTTGTTTTTCATTCAACAAATATTATTAAGTGCCTGCTATCTGCCAAGCACTATTCTAGCCCTAAGTTTGTAAAGTCAAAAACAAATTTTCTCATTTGCCATTTCCTCTCCCAATCTATTTTCCTCACTGTTACCAGAATGATTATTCTGAGGAGCAAATTAAATCATTTCATATTTCTGCTTAACATCCTTCAGTGTTTCCCATTTGCCTCTAGATTAAGCCTAGGCTCTTTACCCTGGCATATGAAATTTTGCTGATTTTGCCTCATCTGTTGTCATTTTCCACTTTAATCTTGGTGACCCAAATGGCACCAAACTGTCAGTCCTGTTTCCTTGTTCCGTATCTTTCATACGCTTTTTCTTCTGTCTGAAAGTCCCTTTCCTGCATCTTTTGTAGACCCAATGAAACCGATATCAGCTACCTCCTTTAATACCCAGCACAAGATGTTACCTTCCTTGGGAATGGGAAGCATTCCTTGAACACCTCTTACCAAGAGAGTTAATTAGTTCCTTTTTGTGCTGTGTCGGCATTTTATCCATTTATTGTTTCATTTATTTAATTAAAATGTATTTTCTTACATATCATCCCATAGATGCCAAGAGTAAGTATCATTGCTTCCCAGAAAGCAACCACCACAATTGCATCGAATATTAGTGCCTACCATATATAATGCCTGGGAAAAAATGTATCCTCATCGAAGGAATGCTAAACTTTGAATTGTGTTAATACTGTTTTCCTTATACCAAAAATATATACAATCCTAAAGATAAAAGCAAGAACATATAGTGAAAAATATGTTAAACCCAGTACCTTTGTAAAAGAAAATTTCAAAGATCTAGGAGCAGTAACAACTCAGAAAGAGTAAGCTTCTTAGCACCTAGATTATGGTCTATAAATTCCATTCCCCACTAATCAGTTCTCTACAAAAAAATAACATCCAGAGCACAAAATGTATAATCTGAGCCTGAGAAATCTTGAGCCAAAAAGTAATAACGTATTTTTTTTTAATACTAGCATAAATCAAAGGACACAGGAGCGAATCTTAGAGGTCTACCAGGTAAAAATGAAACAATTTGACCACTAAAAACAATGACTGAAATGGATCAAACCCTTCGATTAAATAAGCTCCATGAGTTCATAATGATATCTTAAATCTCAATCACCTTTAGAGTTTCCTAGGCCACCAACTCATCATTTTGAAAACCGATAAACTGAACAAAAAGAAGCAAGCATTTATCCTTCCTTGTATGTAAAATTTTAATTTCAGGGTAACCAAAGAGTTGATAAAAGAATATTCTTCGTAGAAAAGTTCTAGGTAAGGACTGCAGAAGGAATGATGAAATTAGAGATTGCCATTTTGCAATTCTACTGAAATAGAGGAAATCTAGGAATATTCATCAATAGCTAATAAAAGCATCTGGTAAAATGTTGGAGGGAAACTTGATAATGAATGGATCAGGCTGACAACACCTGAATCAAATCATGAATCACAGCAACAGTAAAAGTGGGACTGATAGACATAGGCAACGATGCTATAGGAAATAGACAAGTCTTCCTAAGAAATTTCCTTGCTACTAGTAAAAATACCAAAACCTGAGTATATCCAATCCTCTGTATCTAAATCCTTTGTATTTACACTTTATTAGAAACACATAGGATAAAGGATACACTAAATGATATGAAGAAGATACAGTCGGGTAAATGTAGATCATACAAATCCTACCAGTTTCTTCAACAAATCATTGTCATGGAAAAACATGGAAAGAGAAATAATTATAGATTTAAAATTGACTTAACAGTGTTATCAATCAATTGCAATGTGTGTATCTTGTTTCATTATAGTTCAATCAAACAACTTGAAAAATATATTTCAGATAATTAGGGACAACTAAACATACACTGGGTAGTAGATGGTATTAAAAATTATTGCTAATGTTGTTATGTGAAATAATGGTACTGTAAAAGTTTTCATACATACTTTTTTTGTAAGCCCTCATCAGTTTGCAATATATGGTAAAGTATTTCCAGAAGAAATGATATGATTTTGAGATTCAATACAGAATACCAGGAATAGATTGGGAGGCAAGGTACCGATTAAAAAAGAATGTTAAACTATTAACAATTGTTGAAATTAGGTGAGATTGATACACAGGGATTTCGTTAAACAATTCGCTCTATTGTTATCTGTACCTGAACATTTCAAAAATCAAAAGTTAGTTTTATTTGTTTTATACTTATTTTATTCCAGGTTTGCTCAATATGAATTTTACCCATCAATAAGAGTAAATATATCGATTTTGTAAGATTAACATCTATATAGAGTGTGTTGATTATCTCAAAAGAAACATCTTACAAAATTTTTATAGAATATCATATACCAATTTATATTTTGACATAAGATTATCAAAAATTAGTTAATTGCAAGAACATAAAATATTCATAGTAAATATTAAAAGATTATTGGAAATATATTAGGAAACAAGAACATATTAATATTTTTTATCAACTATAAGCATAGGATAATATATGAATATCATCTAGATATTATAACTTCCTTTTAATCAAAAGCACAGGCCATCTCTTTTTCTTTTCTTTTTTCTTTTTCTTTTTTTTTTTTTGAGATGGAGTTTCGCTCTTGTTACCCAGGCTGGAGTGCAATGCGCGATCTTGGCTCACCGCAACCTCCGCCTCCTGGGTTCAGGGAATTCTCCTGTCTCAGCCTCCCGAGTAGCTGGGACTACAGGCGCAAGCCACTATGCCCAGCTAACTTTTATATTTTTAGTAGAGATGGGGTTTCACCTCGTTGACCAGGATGGTCTCGATCTCTTGACCTCATGATCCACCCGTCTCGGCCTCCCAAAGTGCTGGGATTATAGGCGTGAGCCACCGCGCCGGGCCCAGGCCATCTCTTATACATGAATAGTCATAAGAGCATTTTTCATAGTAGCCAAAACTGGAAACAATCCAAATATCCATAAAATGTTGAATGGACAAAAAAATATAGTATGCGCATACCTTGAAATAATACTTAGCAATAAAAGAAAGGTACTGATACATGCAATGATGTAGACAAATCTCAAATATATTATGCGCTAAGTTAAAAATTCCAGGTACATAACTATGTATCATATTCCATTTATATGAAATTTCTGAAAAGTGCAAAACCATAGTGAAAGAAAGATAACTTATTGCCTCAGGCTGAAGGTGAATGTTGGGATTGACTGCAAATGTGCACGATGAACTCTTTAGCACCATGGAATTGTTCTAAACCTGGATTGTGGTGCTGGTATATAATTTTATATATTTACTGAAATTCAATGACACACTTAAAAAGGGTTAAAGCGGTGATTTTCAAGGTATGGTCCCAAACAGGACTACTGGCATGACGTGGGAACTTGTTAGAAATGTATATTCTCATATCCCACCTAACTTACTGAATCAGAAAGTTGATACAGAGTCCTTTAATCTATTTCAACAAACTTTCCAGGTGAACCTTATACATGCTAAATGTAAAAACTACCAAACTTTTGGTTGTGCTGACTATTCTATCTAAGATTTTCCAAATTTTATAACTGCCAAATCGGATCATTGCACAGCTTCATACCTGAACCATATGACATATGAGACTTGTCTACAGTCTCCATTGCCTTTATAAAAATAAAAATATTATGCTGTTAGTGTTTAGTGAAGGTCAAAAATGAAATATGCTACATGAGAACTGGCACTTCAGTTTTTGTAAATAAAACACCTTTAAAGCAGAACTCAGCAAACTTTTCCTACAAATGCCAGATAGTAAATATTTTTGACTTTTGGAGACATAAGGTCTCTGTTGAAACAGCTCAGCTCTGCCTTTGTAGCATTAAAAAAAGCAAGAGGCCATATGTAAACAACCAGCATTATCACATTGGTCCATGGCAGGC